CTCCCTCCCTCTCCCTCCCTCCCCTCTCCCCCTGTCTTTCATTTATAGATAATTACAGATCATAATAATCAACTCACTTATATTCCGTATTATTTTCATCGTTTGGATGAAGTCGTATCAGATCAATTCCGTCGAATATCGTAATAACATCATCGTTGAGGAGAGTATTCAAGGTGTCAATGGTTCTCTGCTGCACGCATCTTCTAAAAATGTCCAATAATTCATCCTGGTCGGAACTATTCCGCGTGACTGATGGACAATTCTTGATTATGGATCGCAACTCAGAGTACCCATTTGTTTTATCGTCACAGCTAGCCTTTATTACGACTGCAGTCAGCATGAAGGCGAGAACGTGAAAAGCACGAGGGTGCATCTGTATTTAAACGCTTATAAGTCTTTCAGGACCGACAATATTAATGTGGGTTAGTCACACACTTTATTCGCGTTTTTTCTCTCTTTTTTTTTCTTTTTATTATGGTCTTTCCTGAAAATCGGCTTTATTCGTCTAGTCTAAACTCGCTAAACACTTTCGTCAAGCTATATGCAAATTCTGTGGATAATTTTGCATCAAATTTTTTTTTTAGCAAAAATGTGAAAATTAAAGAAATATGTAGTTTAGTTTAAAGCATTTCGAGACATATTGCTTATACGAATAATACTTTTAAAGGAGAATGTTAAAAAGAGGTCGATTTTTGCCTACAGAGGGGTAAATAAAAGAAATAGCGTTTTTTATAGATTTGATGTTTTGAATACGATGGCAATAAGAAGTTCGAGATTGATAGGTCCTTGAAAATTAAGTATGAACATGGTGTATTAACAGAATTCAAATGATGTATAGAGCTATCACAAAATGCAACCGTATGAATTTTTTTAGGGAAACAGGTGGATGTGTGTGCGTGCGTGTGTTTACTTTTTGTTTCTTCACATCATGTTCATGCTTAATTTTCAAATTGTTCCTTATCGATCCCGAACTTTTTACTAACATTATCGTATTCAGAAGATTAAAATCTATAAAATACGCTATTTCTTTTACTTTCACCTTTATTGGCAAAAATCAGCTTCTTTTTAACGTCCTTTTTTCCTTTTATTAACAACTTTAGTTTGAACAACAAAGATTAGAATAATCTAAGAAGAAAGTCGCAAGAAAAAAACATTATTTTTTTTAATTGGAATGTTACCATGAAAAAGTATGTCCTTTTGTCAATTTAAATTTAAATTTAAATAAAAAATAGTTATTAAAGATTTATATTTTCATTATTTCCTTAATTAAAAAAAAGCACTTTTATTATTTTTAGAGATTATTAACAAATGAATATTATCACAACTTCAAGAATAATTAAATCCAAAAAACCATTGTAGAATAGATATTATTTATCGGAAGAAATATTAATAATATTTATGTTTGCACGTATTCAACTTTTTTTCTGCCCTGTTTTCTTATCTCACCCATAAAACAATTTCATCTATGTTAGTATTACTACTACTATTTTACTTATTTTGTCCTTCAATTTTTTTGACATACACACGTACATAAATTATTAAATAAAACAATAATACAATATATTATAACAATAAAGATACGTACTATGTACTTCATAAATATAAATTCGGAAGTAATATGAATGATACATCAAAACTTTTTTTTCGTATATATATTAACCGTCTCTGATCAAATACATAAGATTTTCACGACACTTAATTGTTTGAAATATATATAAATATTAGAATATAATAGTATTTGTGAATTAGGGATGTGCGGGTACCCGAAAATTACGGGTATTCGAGTCTCGGATTTAGGATGGAAATTTTTTCGGGATTTCCACTTAAACTTTTAGTAAAATTAGAAGTGAAAAATTCGAATAAAAAATCATAAAGCATCACATTTATGCCATTAAAAAAATTTCTATATCTATGATCACTACCCGATTTTAAATTCAGGTATCCGAAGTTTACGGGTATTCGAATATTACAAATATTCACAATCCCGAAAAAAATTCCCGATCCGATCCAAACCCGAAATCTCGGGTATTCGCACACCTCTACACTCAGAAAAAAATATAGCACCAGATAGTACAATTGGAGAGTGCTCTTCTACAAATAATAATACAAATAGGGACAAAGATCATTTGTAATAAATGAGTCTAAAAGATTGTTCTAAGAAATTTGTTTCAAATCAATTGACAAACTGCTTAAGACTGTAAAATATTGCAGTATTAACAAAATCTAAAAGGTGTAGTAGTTTTAAATAATTTTGCTAGAATATTTTATTGTAGAAAACATCTATAATTATTGTAAAGCAGTTTATTTTTTATGTTTAAAGTAAAATGAACAAATTGTATTTACAGTGACTATAAACTATATGATAAAAGAAGCAAAATATTATTATAAATTAATGTTAGTTGTTTTTAATATTAAAAACATTATTTTATAGAGTACTACAATAACGCAATAAATTTTAACTAAATTTTATAATATAATTTCATAACCAGTACGTAACAAGTTACACTTAATGTATTATAATTAATTAAAACATTATAGAAAAATATGTTTTACTTTTTATTAATAAAATTTATTTATGCGTTTGTTTCACAAAGTCACAATTTTTGTGTTTGCATGTGACAAAATAAATTTGCTACAAAATTGTAACTAATCTGTGTATTTTCTATTTTCCATTAAGTTACAATTTAAAGTTACTTAACTGACAAAATTACTACAATATTGTATTAGTTTTTCCGAGACATTTTTCTCAGTTTAATAAATAAGCACAAACATAATTTTAACTTTTTTCTATAGTTATTTTTAAGATTAGCATTATTAAAATTAAGTTTGCCTATTATTAAGTTTTTCATCTTTTATTGGTTAATATTATAAAAATACTAAAACATTAACAATAATGTTTTAGCGGGTTTTCTGTTAAAAGTGTGTCATCTTCGACGTATATTCAAACAAATCGATTGAAAACTGGTCGATCAAAAACTTTCAAAAGCTTTGAGAAGCAGAATCCGAAAAGCAGAACTCGCTTCAAATTTACGTAAATATCGATAAAGAGCTTTACCTGGAAAAATCTGCACTCCTCCGGAGACCTCTTCACGAACGAACACGTCGCGGAATACTGTGAAAGACGGTCGTGCGGGCAGTGCATTGCGTACATTTATACGTGCAGAAAATAGACTACGATGTCGTGCAGGTAGTCATTACGAGTCATCGAAGGGCATCAAGGTAGCGGTCAAAAGGCGGCCGTACTTTACGCTCGACCGACCGCTCTCCGCAATCACTGGCAAAAACTATGTTAGTACTTACTACCTATGTGACAATCCGGATATTGCTATTTTTTCCCCAGTAATGGATAGAATACAATGATTTCCATAGCAGAAAAAGTATTTTAACGTGGTAAATATCAATATGTGAGCAATTCTTTTTTAAATCAATGTTTATATGAAAAAAGAGGATTTTTGTGCATAACTTTTAAAAACGATATGAGAAATATCGCACGTTTCTATATTGTGGATAGATATACGAAATATTCTATACTCCATAAATTTGAAAACTAATAAAACCATTCAAAATATTGAGAATATAAAATATTTTTGCTCTCAATAATTGTATGATACTTCAAATAATACCATACGCGAGATAACGCAGAAATTTATATTATCTCGATCGATTCAAAATCAATTGGGTTAAAATTTCCATTTAACTACACATTTTTCCGCAACTGTGGATGTATATGTAATTGTGCAATAGTAATTTACTAATAATATTACACATTTAGAATTTATGGACATATATATATATATATGTGTGTGTGTATACATATGTAAAGCTTAAATTATAGAGTTTAATTGTAAACTCGATAGACGCAAAACGGTAAACCTTTAATACTTTTAATATAATGACATATTTCGATTATTTAAAAAATCAAGTCTTAAAAATTCAGTTAAAATTTTATTATAAATTAATTTATAATAAATTAATTATTAATAACATTTAAAATAAAAAACTCACGGCATTATCTGCATTAATATAGCCAAATTAAATAATTAATAACCTATTCATCATAATTCTAGAATGCAATTGAGTCAATCAACTTTGTCTAAATGTCAAATAATCAATAATTTAAAATATATACAAACTACAAGAACGGACACTTTCATATTTTTAATAATTTAAAAAATATTTTTATCAGAGCTATATAAGATTTTTCAGATTTATTAATTCAATCTATAATTGAATTTATAATAAAATATTTTATAGCAAATTCGATTGGAA